GCAGGACACGGCACTGAGCCTTGTTGAACCTCATACAGTTGGCCCCGGCCCAAGGATCCAGCCTGTCCAGGTCCCTCTGTAGGGCCTTCCTACCCTCCAGCAGATCGACACTTCCACCCCACTTGGTGTCATCTGCAAACTTACTGAGGGTGCACTCGATCCCCTCATCCAGATCATCAATGAAGATATTAAACAGACCTGGCCCCAGTACTGAGCCCTGGGGAACACCACTTGTGACCGGCCGCCAACTGGATTTGACTCCATTCACCACCACTCTCTGGGCTCGGCCGTCCAGCCAGTTTTTAACCCAGCGCAGAGTGCACTTATCCAAGCCGTGAGCAGCCAGCTTCTCCAGGAGAATGCTGTGGGAGACAGTGTCAGAGGCCTTACTAAAGTCCAAGTACACAACATCCACAGCCTTCCCCTCATCCACCCAGTGGGTCACCTTGTCATAGGAGGAGACCAGGTTAGTCAAGCAGGACCTGCCTTTCATAAACCCATGCTGACTGGGCCTGATCCCCTGGCTGTCCGGTACATGCCGCGTGATGGCATTCTGATTATTTCACCTAATAAAGGATCAGAATGAGCAGTATTAGAAAAAAAATATAATTGTTTCAATTAAATTCCTTTCCAAAAATCATTCTTCATAGTGAAAGCTCTGTAATCACTTAATATCTTTTCAGCAATAAAAATGCTACAAAAGTAGGCATTATGCATAATACACTTTAATTAAAAATGAAAGAAAAACAACAAAACCAGAAAAACATAATTGCTTTCAACTGAAGCAGCAGCTACTTGGTCGAGGGCTAAGTTTTCTGTAAAAAAGCAAAATCTGCTTTCATTTACATCTTTGCAACTCCACTGAAGTTCACTGAGGCTGAAGATACAAGTCAACTACAGAATATAATTTGTAGGTCATGAGCAAAGGGTCTGCACTCCACCTTTCCCATCAGTATTTTTTTTTAAAACTCATAATTACAGTAACACTTTCTCTTTCATCACTGTGACTTTGATATCCCCAAGAATAAGACAATGAGATGGATGAGAGCTGATCACAAGTTCTCCTAGAGTAATCAAATTTTAAATGATGATACCTCTTCAATTGTACCAAGGATTTTCCAATTTCCTTTAGGAAAGGCTTGAATCTTAGAGGTGCTCAGCTCTGCCACTAATGCTTATCATTTGAGTCTCAATGTTTTCATAAGATGTCAGCATTTACTTATTACACATATAGGGCATATTTGCATTATGCTTAGTCTGAGACATTTACATCATCTATATCTGAGTTAGGAAATAGAAACAGTATTATGTAAAGAAACATGTCTGGTATGTATCCATTAGGCAAACAGATAGATGGCATTAATGCGGAAACAGAAATGAAAACCTATACCAAAACAAAGATATATTGTGTACATGAAATGCCCCAGTGGATTGACGTATGAAGGGAAACCTCATGACCTATCAAAATTAGAATCTCAGACTACAAGAGCAAAGGTAGGAGAGGTGATCAAAATTCTTTAGTTGCTAGGCATTTTATGGAAAGAAGCCACATTCACTCATCTTATTAAAATTCATGGAAATTGAAAATATCCAAAAGCCCAGGAGGGGTGGGGTCAGAAAATCTATTTCATAGAACTGGGAAGCTTACTCTAAATTCACCTTGAAAGCACTTTCCCCATCACAGACTTCCTGAGAACCTTTTCATTTCTCTCCTACTTAGGAGATAATTATAGCACTTCTTTTCCTCCCTGACTAATGCATACAGAAGGGGGTCACTTCAGTATTTTATGCAAATTACCATGGTTTGTTCCTAACTAGATCTTTGTTGGAAATCACTTCTCCTTTGCTCTCTCTCCAACTCATCTAGCAAGCTTTATTTTTATTCCCTTCCGTTTCCCATATCTCATCCTCTGGCTATGTCATTTGATATCATAACTGCTTTAGTATTAAATATTGTTGAACTCTGCACTTGTATTTTCCTCTTTTTCTTTGCTTTTTCCTTTAATTTTAAATTTACTGTTGTTAGGAAACAATGACACTCAGGCATGGGGATGATGGAAGAGGGGCATTAATCAAAGGTTACATAGCACATTTCTCTTGTGGATAAAACTTCTAAAAGGTACAAATCCAAAAGGAAAGACTGAATACTTCCTACAAGGATTTCTAAGTGCACCAGAATCATGTGAGATTTTTAAGATCATCATGGTCATTTCAGTCAGGCAAAATCTGACTTTATGAGTTTAAATTGCCAGTGCTGGATACTTGGCTCATGTGGTCTGATCCGGCCCTCATAGCTTCTGTACAAGAAATTCAAAGCAGCAAAGTGACACTAAGAGGAAGATGTGATGGGAAGTTCTGCACCACTCCATTTCCACATCAGGGAAGGCTGTCTCCTCATACCACTACTATAATAGTACAACAGTATTTCTCCATGCTCAGGCACCTCCCCTACCTTGGGAACTTTAAGACATTAATAGCTAATAAGCACAGCGTTCTCAATATTAAACCAAGGCTCAGACATCATTTAACAACAGAAACAATACTGTTTTAGGCAAGGCAGAAGTAGAGTCAAGACCCCTAGGTTTTTTGTTTTGGTTTTTTTTGGTTGTTTTTTTTTTTTTTTTGCTAGTAGCTCAGTTTTATTCTTAAAAAGAAAGCTGGGATAAGGTAGCTTTTTTTTTTTTGTTTTTTAAACTGCTTTTCTAGCATTGCATAAAAACTGCAGGACATGAACAGTAGCAGTACTGCAGCAAACAGCTTGCTAAGTATATCCCAAAGGTTTAGCATTCCAAATAGAAGTAGCAAGCTGCTTCATAACTCATCGCACATTTTTGCAAGTGATATCAACGGTCAATAACAGACCAACAGTATTCCCCCTGAATTCACCACTCATACATAATTGCTAATAAAGAGAAAAAATAAATGTTCTCTCATGAAGAAGCTTGCAGTATTTCTGTATTAAGAAACATTATAAGAATAAAGACTTTCTACAAAGCCCTCAGAAAGGTGGGCCACTTTGAAATCAATCAAATCATGCGTTGCCAAAAGATTTTCCCTTCAAGGTATTAAGAACAGATTTTTTCCTCAGCCTAACTGTACTGCCTTATATATTGTTCACTCAGCCAGCTGCATAGCCCTCTCTCATACCTCTGAGACAAATTCTTCATGATTTCCATAGTAATTGTTGAAGAAGCTTTTCTACATCTAAGATAATATAAACGCTAAAGGCTGTAAGTATCTTTATATACATAAGGGGCCTTAAAAGAGAAACTTTTTATATTTATCAAGCATAAGCACAAGCTCTCCCCCACCCTTACGAACAACATTCATACCACCAAGTCCTAAGGAATCTAAAGCAGCACCCAATGTTTTTCTCTTCACTCCTGTCTGTTCCCCCGGCTTTAATTTCTCTCTCTTTCAGAGTCCTATCTGGCACATGGAGGAGGCTTTTTCAATAAATCAATACTCTAATAAAAAATGACTGGCTCTATGTACTCCACATATTAAGCAAGTTTTTCTTATACAGAAAAAACCATTCACCTTATGCTCTATATTTGACATTCATTTTTAATAACAGACCTTAATAAAGGAAGCACCTGGCAAAAACGTGAATCTAAAATAGCACAATGTTAAAGCTTGTCTGCTTTGATAATATTTTTCTGATGAGGCATAATAGCTAATCAATTTAATTTGGTTTCAGAAAGAATGATAGCATTTTGCGGTTTTCAAAGTATACTTTCGAAAAAGAATAACCATCTGAAAGAACTGCTATGAGGACAGGCATGTTAAGTAATAGCTATCATTTTTTTGTCAGCAAAATGGAAGGCTACTGTTCTAAGCAAGAACAAAATTAGCAGCTTATCCATGAAAAATATAAAAGACAAAACCGAATTATATGCTTTTTGTTAAAATTATTATAGCATAAATATCCTGGTAGCATCTATATGGAAAACAACACATACATGATAAAACTGCTCCCCAGCACATATACACAAAAAGAAGAAATTACCTTCCGAAATTAATGTTTAAGAGCAGAATTTTCAAAACTACTTTTGCGTCTCACATTTACTCCATGAAATCAGTAAAAAGAAAAGGCAGGGAAAGGAAAACCAAAGCATAATACACTCATTGAGGAATACCAACAACCAAAAAATATCTGCATGTTCTGACAACTACCATCATCCCAAATGGGCCTTGCTAATCTGGGGATAGGCCTCCTGACAGCAGCTGCAAGTTGAATCATTATGTTTTGGGCTAAGCTCTGTTCTATCCTCGCAAAAACAACACTGAAGAGTTGTATGAGGTGTACAGCTCCTAAAAACAGAGTCAATCAACATCGCCACAGTGTATGCTTCCATTTTACACCAATGACTTACCCAGATATTTCCATCCTGGTGGTATGGTTTCCAGTTTCTCCCTGTATCACTATAGAGCATCCGATACTGAGTGACCCAGTCAGAACTGCTATACCTGCCTTGAGTCGCAATAGCACTGATCTGCTTCCTGTTCCCAAAATCCACCTGCAGCCACTGGTAATGGTCGCTGTCTGATGGAGACCAACCTCCTGCACCTGTTGGGTTGAAACAGAACAGAGAGATTTAGACCTCAAACACTCGCTTTGAAGTGAACACATTGTGAAGATGCTGACTGCTGGAAGGCAGCCCAGCTGAGAGGAGTAGAATACCAAAAAAACTTGAACGCATACAAGAAAAATATGATTGCACATTTTTTTAATAATGCTTCTTTAGCACAGGCGTCAAATGTATTAACTCTGTTGCCTTAATCATTTCATGATATAATTATAATGATTTAATGGGCTGCCTGCTAACGAATGCCTTTATAATGCCTTAATTACAGTTTATTAGTTTTTGCCAAATTATAATTGTTCAAGGGTTGACCAATTTGCCATGAAATCCTTTGTCAGAATAAATTGGCACAAATCAATAACAATCTTTGGATTTTGTATGCCTTTTCAACAGCATTTCATGTTAAAGAGATAATATAGATAAAATGGGAGGAAATAAGAGCAACCTCTCTGCTTTCTTATGTTTCACTGTAGTCCACAAACTGAAGGATCCACCAAAACAGTTGGAAAGGAGCAGGTACTGCAAGGCTGGATCCAGTTTTGATCTGCTGGGTGTACAAGCTGTCACAGATTACATTGGCAGATGCCTCACAGAAGTGTTATTGCTCTTTATGGGTCTATGAATTAACTTGAGAGTAATACTATTAACAATACTCTTCTCAGCCACTAGACTACATTGACCTGTTCTAAAGAAAGAAGGCCAATGATGCATAGATAAATGTAGTATTAAGACATTAATGCAATTTCTTATTCTTCCAAAATAAAAAATATTAAGGGGAAAATTAATAGCTGGATATGGCAGAGAATGATAAAAAATCTACGATAGATATTATAATGATATATTTACCGTAATGGTAAGTATTAGGAAATAGATGAAATATCACCAAAAAAATCTATCAACACAGAGAAAAAGTGGAGAATCATTCTCTTTATATTAATAGGAGACATTAAGACGCAGAAAACAAAAACTTTACAGACTTAAAGTGATTACAGGTTGGGTTTTTTTTTTTTTCTTTCCTTTTAAGTTTGAACCAAATAAATGGCCTGGCATACCATGAAATCATGTAGTCTAGTCCATGGGCCAATTTTTGTTGCTTTCAATTTCACTTATAGACTTCAACTGATGTCACAAACCTAGCCTGCTTGCCAAGCAAGAAACTTTGCTATACTGCATCTTATATACTCCCATCATTAGGCGGCAGCATTGCCTCAGTCTTAGACAATTCTAAAACTCATTCAGCTGCTACAGGTGTTAACATGGGCAGATCACAGGACATTTTAATGTTGTGATATCAATGGGATCATTTGATGTCATAAGTGGTTGTCTTTCATTGTAATTAAAAGTGCAGTACTACGCCAATGACATCTAATTTGGTAAAATTTTTAAGGCTTGCAATAGATGCTTTGGCCCTGCACTACGGGTAATTATTAAACATGCAGCAATATAAAGACGCTTCCTTAGGGGAAGGGAAATCCTTACTAAAAGCACTTGCAGGGAAAAGTATTCCCACACATTCCTAAATTCAAACTAGCTCTATTTTTGCAGATAATAGCAACTGGTCATTTAAAAATAGAATATAGCTTCTTCATGACTACTATGCAAGGAGATTGGAGCAGTTAGCTCTACATACTTGTCGTAATAGCAGAGATGCCGTTTTCTCTCCCTATCCTAACATCCCTGTCCAGTTGGCGTATCTGAGACTGATGGCACAGAAAAGATAAGAAGCTGCCCCTGTACAGAAGCCACCTTTGTAAAAGGGCCCTATGGTGGCTCCAGAAAAAGTAAGGTCGAAATGTGAGCATTCGGAAGTTGAAAGACATTGAAAGACAGAGCTGATATGAATAAAATGTCCTTCAGCAATGCAATTGTTGAAAAAGTATGATATGCTATAGCTATAAGAAGGCTAAAATAGACCTTATGTTTTGTAGACTTTTTACTTATGCAGGAGATTTTGTTATGCAGGCGAGTTACATTAAAACAAGAGATATTGCTATGCACGTTTAAAAGAAAAGACTTTTAACTATAACACGGTATCTTTTCTTTTAGTACATTCATATTACTGAGATGAGACTTTGGCCTTCTTTAACTGATAAACATACACATTCATTGTAAATTGCAACTAGGTTTCAGAAAGTCTTCACCTACAAATCCATTGAAAAGTTTGCAAAAAATTGAGTGCTAACATTCATTTTCCCATTTTTTTGATGTAACAAGAGGCAGAAAACATTCTTCACATCATGCCTGACAAAAGTCAGAGATACGTGACACAACAGTCACACCTAGGGCAGGAGATGGAAACACAAGTATTGCAAGACAGCCTGCCCTATAACCATTTCTAATAAGTGAGAGACAAGACTTTTAGTTGGTATCGCAGACAGCAGCAAATAATATTATTCCATTGGTTTCTTGACCTAATTCTCTATCTGTTTCACATTTGCCTTCTGGCTTTTCCAAGCAAGTAAATAAATAAAGAGTTAAAAGGATGAAGGAAGAGAACATTGGATTATAGCTAAACGTGCTGCTTAGCAGACCAGCATGGGAAGGGAACGGTGAGCAGTCCGTACGGCAGGGCAGGCGTCAGCCATTCACCAGGAGCAGCCTGTGGGGATCAATTAAAAGTCTCCTCTTCCCCTTTCATTCATCAGGCTGTGTAATTTGGGGGAGCTGATTACTTTGTTCATTTTGTTTGTGATATGTGTAACCGCTATTGATTCAAGGATTAATAAAGGTCCTCTTTTCAGGTACACACTCTAAATAAGTTATGAAAAAGTTGGATTATATAAAAATTTCCCCGCTGTGAGATCCTTGCAAAGGCCCTGAATTCATCAGTGGAATTTAAGTACGTTTGTGTCTCCCTTCACTCTAAGCAGGTACAAAAATCTCACTTCCCCAGAAATGTGTATGTGCTCACAGCTCAGCATATCATTAATATCTTGCTGAATAAAACCAGCTTCTTCACTGGAATGAAGAAGTTGGTTTGATATTGGACAGGCAACAGAGGAGTTACTGACAAATAAAATATTTAACATGTTCTCCCTTTTTAGAAGGAGTGGTGAATTTGGAAATCAAACCCAATTTCCACAATACAGAGTTATTTTCGAAATACACTTACTTTTATGGCCAGTATATTATCACAGAATAATGAATTATCTTTAAGAAATGAGTAAAATGACAGCACGTTAGTAGTCTTCAGTGAGCATTACTTTGTACTGAAACTGCAATGGTGTATTAAATTTGTTGAATAAATCCTATTCACAGTATTATTCTTCACACCTTGGTGTAAACTGTTTAATTTTAATGGTTACAGGCTATATTCTGAATTTCATTACATGCGTTATTTGTGCTTTTTATTATGGCAGAAAAAAGGCATTGGATACATGTTTTTTTATATGATACTCCATTTTACTTCATGTACTGCCTTTTAATGCCAAATGCCACAATATACTATGAAAACAATGTGAGCTACAAATTATTAGAAAGATATTAAAACTACAAATTATTTAAAAGCTATTAAACAGATGCGTATAATACAACTTACTTTCATTAAACAGGTAAGAGGCGCATATGGGGTTCTTCGGTAGTAGAGGTGCAATAAACACAACTGCAGACAATATCTGCTTCCTATTTTTATTTTTATGCTATTCCAAAATGTGATGTGATTAAACATATTCACCCACTCAGCGGCCAAAATAATTGACTCAGTGACATTAACCAGGAGAGTCACTGAATACTTTTATTTATGCTGTATAGCACTCTACACCACAAACAGAGCAACTAATTTCAGCTTGAGCAAGAATGACTGTACGTGACCCTTTGATAGTAGGTATCAGAGAACTTAAGTTCAGCACCAGTAAAGTCAACATTAAGCATGTTGCCCAGATATCTCTGTGTATCCAAGAAACTTTCCTGAATAGAAAAGCCCAAGACTCTTAAGCAGCAAAGCCAGCCAGAGCGTTCCTGTGGTAAAAGGTGGTTGTGAAAGATTTCATAAAGCTTTACTTGCAAAACAAGCTACGGCAAGTCATTTGATCTGCTCCTACTGCAGATTGACCAACGTGTAATGAGTCTACTACTGAAAAACACACTCATAAAACTACATTCAGAATGCTAAGAACTTGTAAAACTAACGTTTTCATGATTTTTCACCAAATAAAGACAATTGCTTACAAATAGTATTAGCATCATTACAACAAGAGCTTAAGTTCAAAGATTTAATTTTTTTTAATTATGAAAACCCCAATGGCTTTCATGTTTTTACTGGATTTTATTCTACAGGTTCATTCCATGGAACTGAAAACAACATGAAAAACATATTTCTACGAGTATAAATAATTCAGGTCAATGTGGGTCTATTTTTGCAAAATTTCATGTATAATGTCTTCCTTTTAATTAATTATATATTTCAGCTCCCTATTCAACGTTGAGTGAGCTAGCTCCCATTTACTGCACACGAAGAAAGCCTACGTGATGAGTTAGCCTTACCTTCTTATCATTCCCCCCGACAAACTGTCAGTAAGTAGCAAAGCTGGGGTAGGCTTACAGATTTTAGATTTTTATCTGAACTGTCATATGCTACTGAGTTTACAGATCTATAAGAAGGGACACACTGATGATTTTTGAAAACATCTGTTCCATTTCAGTTAAAAATCTTCTTCCTTTTGAAAATTTGGCACTTTAATCTTCATTCATGACTGAAACTGGAAAGATTAATTTGCACTAGAAGAATCCGTTCTTGTTTTAGTCACACTTGTTCATCATTCCTGACTTCAAATCACAAAATAAAAAACACCAGTACAGCAGTAAGTCTAGTTTTCTGCTCTTTTCAAATCAGTAATAAAATGTTTCAATGACATGAATGAAAGGAGGAGATCCTTAGTCGGAAATGTCATTAGAAAAATGAACTATGAAAAGCTATAGATAGAAGATTTAGGATTTGTGGTAGTTATAATTCAAGAGATTACTTTATCGAATCATAGAAAATTTC